TGTCCTGTGTGCGTTTCTCTCCCAACAGCAACAACCCCATCATTGTGTCCTGTGGGTGGGACAAAATGGTCAAGGTGAGACCTTTGTCTGTACCTTTATGTAAACTAGAATAGTTGGTCTGTGAACAACTTTACCCTGTGATTAATCAAATCCACATTCTTTTTGTCTGAGCTCTTGGGCTCTGACGACAAGTCCTGCAATTATGATGGGTAACGGATTGAGACCATTAACAAAGTGAACCGTTTCATCAGGGCAGCTTGCGTGGATTGGCTGAATGTTTGCTAATGCAGCCAGTTTAAATTATGTGTGTTTGTTACAGGTATGGAATCTTGCTAACTGCAAGCTGAAGACCAACCACATTGGCCACACTGGATACCTGAACACAGTGACCGTGTCTCCTGATGGATCTCTGTGTGCCTCTGGTGGAAAGGTAATGTGGTCACTCTTTTTCTGGTTTTCACTACTGCAGTTAGTGAACAGGTTAGAGGTTTGAGATGACCGAGTGAAGATGATGAAACCTTAATGCCATCTGAATCCATGTGATTATAAAAGAGGCTGTTTCTGAACACAGAAAAAAACCATTGTGAGTTTTCAGAGCTCATAACTTTTCTATCTGTATTCACTGTGTTTGTCCTCATTTCAGGATGGGCAAGCCATGCTGTGGGACCTGAACGAGGGCAAGCACCTTTACACCCTGGACAGTGGTGACAACATCAACGCCCTTTGCTTCAGTCCCAACCGCTACTGGCTGTGTGCCGCCACTGGACCTAGCATCAAGATCTGGGTGCGTTTATGTACATGAATGCTTTTCATCCATATTAAATACTTTAAAATACTGTATATCTAAGATGTTTCAAATGCAAAGATTTCCCTTCTTTAAGACAAAACTGCAAGCTTCAGTGTGAATTAAGTGCTTTATCCTTAATATATTAACAGTAACCGTTTAAATTGGAGCAGAGAGTTCAATGATGAAAGTTCAATGCCTTCTGTAACTATGATGATAAAGAGGCTGTTTCTAAGAACTATTGGCCCAAGCGGGTATAACATCATACTGCTGTTGCAAAGCTGACTGTTTTCTCTCAACAGGATCTGGAGGGCAAGGTCATTGTTGATGAGCTGAGGCAGGACATCATCACCACCAACAGCAAGGCTGAGCCGCCTCAGTGCACTTCTCTGGCCTGGTCTGCTGATGGACAGGTGGGTTTTACAGCAGCCTTTTCTGCCTGGAATGAGTTCCTGAGCTATTCCTTGCATTTCATTAGTTGTAAATTCTAGCTGGATCAGCTGCTCCCGTTGATTATACCCAATCACTTATAACATCTGAAACTTTATGGTGACAGTCCTGCAAATATGAGGGGGACAGTAATATGATTTTAAATCAGTAGCAAGTGCTTCTAAAGTAGTACCTGATAATAATGCCCGTTTCTCATCACAGACTCTCTTTGCTGGATACACAGACAACCTGATCAGAGTGTGGCAGGTGACCATTGGAACAAGATAGACGCCTTTTCTAATGTCTAAATAAAATAAACACTTTTAAAAAGAACTACAATTGACTTTGTTTACTTAATTTTTTCTGACTTGCAATAAACTACAACTGAAATGCAACCATTTGAGTCGTGTAAATCGGTTTGAATAGCCGCTAGATGGCGCTAATGTATGTTGATTAAATCTTTGCCACTTGTTGCCTAGCAACAAGGCCAACAAACGTTGAGGACACGACATGATACAGACGCTTGAAATATAAACTATTTTAGTGTTGTAGGTAAGTAAACATAGTAATTGTGCTTCCATTCTGGTAAATTTATAATTTTTTACTTTTATAGTTTTTGATCAATTTTGCCTTGGCTGTTCAAGCAACTTTAAATGTAACCGTGAAAAAGTCCTGTAACGTCAATAGCAGAAAAATAGTGAAACGTTAGCTGTTAAAAAGTCATGGAGAGCGACAGTCCTCAGAAACAGATGCCTGCACCTCGTATCTTCGTGGAGAGAACTTTGGCTTTAATCAAACCTGATGCCATCCACAAAACCGATGAAATTGAGGACATTATTCTTCAGTCTGGATTTACAGTTGTTCAGGTAATGTTACGTAAGTGAACAGACACAACTATTTTTTTTCTATTCTTAAATATTGCATTTTGCACGGCGCATACGATGAATTATTTACATGGTGAATTGAGACAATCCCTAGTTTGACCTTTTCTGAGTCCAAGATCGTCATGTGGTGTCTGATGCCACTACATTGTACTGTTTAAAATGAGGCTGATGAAATGTATTAAAACAACAAAAATCTATGCTTTCACGATTCCTATTTCCTTCCTTCTAGCTTGCACTGTTCTGGACAGTGTTTGAAACATTGTGTGACCAGCACTCCTTGTGTTATTGCCTGCTTATGATAAATCGAGTGTATTCCTCATTCGTAAATCGCTTTGGAGAAAAACCTCTGTTTAATAAATAAATGTAAATATGCATTGTGCTTATCAGCTAAAATCAGCTTTAGTAAGCTTATCAGCTTTAGTAAGATTTACATTCTGCTTATGCCTTTATCATTCTCATTTTGTTTTTCTCATTTAACAGAAAAGAAGGCTTCAGCTGAGTCCAGAGCAATGCAGTGATTTCTATGTTGAGCATTATGGGAAGCTGCATTTTCCCCATCTGACTGCCTTCATGAGCTCCGGACCGGTTGTTGCTCTAGCACTGGCCCGACACCAGGCTATTGCCACCTGGAAAGCCATAATGGGGCCAGTCAGCAGCATCAAGGCTAGAGAAACGCATCCTGACTGGTAATGAATGTCACTGAATGAATCTTCTCTGTCTATGCAGGTGGTTTAATAATAAAATGGACTTATGAAGTTCATGTACTGTAGGGGGAACTATTACAGGGCACCATTTTCTGTGCCTTTTAAACTCCTGGCAAAATAAATAGATACTTTTGTTGGATTTTATGCACTTCAGGCTAATGATTTACAAAGTCTGTGTTCATTGCAATGCCTAAATCAATCACATAACTCATTTGTCATTGCAATAAAGCTATATTCATTATGCATACTGTAATATGTTTCATTTGTGCTCAATATCAGTAATTATTTCCATGTAACACTCATATTTGTGAATGTCATCATCAGTCTGAGAGCGAGATTCGGCACTTGTGACCTGCGGAATGCTGTGCATGGCAGTGAATCCTTCACTGCTGCTGAGAGGGAGATCAGGTTCATGTTTCCCAACTGTGAGTAAATCTAACCCTGTCCAGATGAGTTCAGTGAACAGGATAAGAAAGCATACTAAAAATCTGCTTCTCAACTCTTTTAGCTGTGATTGAACCCATTCCTATGAGAGATGCCGCCAAAGATTACCTGAGCCGGTACGTCAGCCCAACACTTCTCACTGGACTGACAGAGCTGAGCAAGAAAAAGCCATTGGACCCTTTTGTAAGTGTAAAAGCTTTTAAAAGTCATTCTAATAAATTTGGAAGTACTTGAGGGCAAATACATTGACAGAATTGTAATTTTGGAAGAATTTCTTTAAAATTGTTCAACCCGATTCCTTTCTTTTGACACTCTGGATCCAGTTGTTCAAAAGAAATTTGGCTATTAGATTGGATCAAATCATGAAAATGGGCTTTTCACATGGAAAAAAAAAACATTCTGAAATCTGATTAGAGCATACAATTTTGCTTTTGATCATACTCAAACCTTCAGTATGTGTTGTTCAAATTTTTTTGGGAAAAAAAAATAAAATCAGGATTATACTGGTCCTAGCTGATGGGTGGATTTCAGGGACAAAATGTAATAACAACTGGCTACCGTAAAGTAGGCTATCTATTAAGCCTGTCAGAACAGTAACGTAAAAATGATTTTGTCCCCATAAAATAAGCAGCTCATTATCAAACAAAAAATGGTAATTTATCAATGTATTTTAATTACAATGACTGACACAACCAACAGAGATGAACCAGTCAAAAGAAGTTTCAAATATTTGCATCCCTTATTGCATGTATGTTTGTTTGTTTTTATTTATTTGTTGTAGGTCAGATGAGGACAATGGAAAGGGATGTTTCTATTCAAATAAAAACACTTGGACAGTGCAAATACAGATCATTCTGGATTTCATAATATGTCAATATCCTATTTACTCAGTTATTTTTGTACTGTTATTTTTCTTTACAGACATGGCTTGCAGACTGGTTGATGAATAATAACCCTAATAAGCCCAAAATATCTGATGGAACAGTAGTAGAGGAGGCAGCAGCATGACATTTTTTTTTAAGCAAGAAGAATTTACCAACAAGAAGTTACTGTCTCACTCTATTTTGGTCTATTTTCCTCATATCATTCAAACTGCTTTATAAAATAAAAGTTTTGTAATTTTTCTTCAGCCCTTTTTTCTTTTTATCCAAATGTGTTAGTTTTAAATTGTCAATGTTCATTTAATTGTAAGATAAAAGTGCAAATTTACAGTATCCTTGTCACTGCATACTTACACAGTAGAAACATTCTAACATTATTCAACATCAAATCAAATCTTAAAATTCATTATTAAAAAGAAAATCATTCTACCCTTCTGATGGTGATAAATATTTGGTTCACAATCATTTTTTTTAAAGTGAAGAACTAAGTATATTAATACAATTGTCTGATCTCGACAAAAAAATGAATGTAATAAAGCAAATAATTAAAAGGCCTATTGCAAAAGCCGCTGTAACTTCCTCATTACTATTTGACTAAAAATCGAAATACAAACGCTTGTTTCTTGCATTATTTTCTTTGTAGCTCCCTTCTAAAAATATTTAATTGTAATTTCACTTAAAAGTGGTCAACAACACGTTTATAAACCAAACAAGAACAAAGAGTTCTACCCCCGCGCGACACGAAGGATCAGACGAGGCGCGTTTGGGGGAGGATTGCTGTGACGTGTAAGCGACACATTTGATTGGCTATTAGAATGATAGGCGTTCGAAGCCACCCAATTAAATACGCCCTTACTAAACTTCCTTTATCTTCCATCCAGTAATATAAAACCAACCACTTGTCGGCGCAATAAGGAAGGGCCCACACCGCGGAAAGCATTCCACGGAGACTTTTCACTTGCTGCTGCTTTTACGGTAAAGTATTTACGTGAAAATTACGAATTTGGTAGCCTCCGTGTACGTATTAGTTGCATTAACCCTTACATTTAATTATAGGACAGTTAAGCTGTGTATTATCCTAAATTAGAAAGCGATATGTTTAAATTTTTGTTGCGTATGATAAATGCGAGGGCCGCTTTTCAAAATGGTGGTTTTTATGCGTTACATAAGGCGCTTCCTTTCGTAATTATTTCACGTACTCTGCAGTTTTAGGTTTTCACATTAAACTACCACCATGTCAGATGCCGAGCAGCATTATATGGAAACCTCAGAAAACGGCCACGAGGACGATCTGAACGGAGCCGGGCAGTACGAGGAAGGCACCGGGGATGAGCAGGCCGGAGCGCAGGGAGACGCCGGTGGCGACGAAACGGCTGGGGACGAGGAAGACCCTCAAAATGGTTCGTCGGACGGGGGGCAAATTGATGCTAGCAAAGGAGAGGAAGATGCGGGGTACGTAAAAGTAACGGTTGTGCTGGATGCGCGGACGTAAACCCCTTTGTCCTTCCTGTCTTTGTTGGCGCCATGTGTCTCTTTGTAGGGGGATGGGTGCATTGGTGAATTGAATACGGAGCGGGGTTTTAAAATGCACTGTTGCACCTCTTTAATTGTTCCCTTAAGCAGACGTTTTTTGTGTGTGTGCGCTTTTAATACATCTGTATTGTGTTGCAGTTTTGATTTCCGTTTATTAGTAGAAAGTGGGCTTTTTTTTTTCAATTCAAGAAATGGGGAAATTTGTGAAATCTGTGCTACCACGCCCCCTCCTGGTCTCACTCAGATTTTCTGCTTCGTTTCCTCAGGAAAATGTTTGTTGGGGGCCTCAGCTGGGACACGAGTAAAAAGGATCTTAAAGATTACTTCTCTAGATTTGGAGAGGTGACAGACTGCACCATCAAAATGGACCCCAACACTGGGCGATCAAGGGGATTTGGGTTTATTCTTTTTAAAGAGTCAGCCAGTGTAGATAAGGTAAGCTTTGGTGCTTAGGAAAACCTGAAGTCTTGTGATTCTTCGATGGTTAACTAAATCGTTAATTTCTCTTTGCACAGGTTTTAGCACAAAAAGAGCACAGACTGGATGGACGACAGATTGACCCCAAGAAGGCAATGGCAATGAAGAAAGAACCTGCTAAGAAGATCTTTGTCGGCGGGCTGAACCCTGAAACTACAGAAGAGAGGATCCGCGAGTATTTTGGTGCCTTTGGCGAGGTACTGGAGTGTTCTTTTTAGAGTTTGAATTTCTTTAAATTGTTTTAAGCAAGCTGAGCAGAAAATTTAGACATGTGTAATCAAAGTTTTACATTGGAAATAAGATTTCAAGCGTTTGTTTAGTTAAAGGAATGATAACGTAATTGGTGTATGTTGGCAATGTAAAGTTTCGCTTTTGATCTTTGCACGCACTTTCTTTTGTATAGTGTTTTTTTTTTTTTTTTTTTTTTCTCCCTCCTTTTGCTAATAGATGTTGTTTTGTTTGCAGTTGTTGGTTTTGCAGTTTAATTATTATTTTTTTTTTTTATATACACATTTGTTGACATCATGATTTTTGACATTGCAGATTGAGACTATTGAACTTCCAATGGATCCAAAGACAAATAAGAGGAGAGGGTTTGTCTTCATTACCTTCAAGGAAGAAGAGGCTGTCAAGAAAGTTTTGGAAAAGAAATATCATAACGTCAGTGGAACCAAGGACACAAGTGGAAAAGAAGGCCTTGTGAGTGTTTCCAGTTTGATGTTTACCTTAAATTTATTGATGGATGTGATCAATCTTCAGGGATGTTGTTCGCTATTTGACATTGTACTAACCTTTTATACTTGACATGAATATACCATAAGATTTTATACATTGTCTACAAGTCCGTGGTCTTACTTGATTATTAATTTTAGCTGTAGTGTTTTATGCAGATGTTCTGCTATAATGATTCCAAATCACCCATTTTTGCCTTTTTTCCCCCCAGTGCGAGATTAAGGTTGCGCAGCCAAAAGAAGTGTACCAGCAGCAGCAGTATGGAGGTCGTTTTGGAGGGAGAGGAAGGGGGCGTGGAGGTTGGTACCTCTGCATGCTACTTTAGGCTGCGTTAGTCTGTGCAAAGTTTACCTAGATAAAGACTGAATGCTCATCAAATGTACAGAGATATGCATTAGAAAACAACAGTCAACCTTTTGTGTCTATATGAATCGAATGCTGTCGGGTTAACTGAGGCAAGTCACTTATTTATGTAGAGCTTCATACAATACAAATTTTAAAGGTCCCATGGCATGAAAATTTCACTTTATGAGGTTTTTTAACATTAATATGAGTTCCCCTAGCCTGCCTATGGTCCCCCAGTGGCTAGAAATGGCGATAGGTGTAAACCGAGCCCTGGGTATCCTGCTTCGCCTTTGAGAAAATGAAAGCTCAGATGGCCCAATCTGGAATCTTCCCTTTATGTCGTCATACGGGGAAAGGTTACCTCCCCTTTCTCTGATTTGCCCGCCCAGAGAATTTGGCCCGCCCATGAGAAAATGAGCTACTACTGTGCGAGGCGAGCGCAATATTTTTTTTTTCTCGAGAGACGTCATGGCTTGCAAACGAGCGAAGCATGGCAGTTGCCCCGCCTCTCTCCTCCTCATTAGCATTTAAAGCTACAGACACAGAAATGGCACGTCCTAAGGAAAGCTCATTGTGGGACTGGCTCGTAGTGGCTGAAATTCTGCACCAAGGCTGAATTTTGGGAAAGAGACTTCAGATACAGTACTAGGGACCACTTAGGCATATATAAAAGCATCCAAAAAGCAGCATGTCATGGGACCTTTAAAGCCGCTTCATGGTAATAAACGGGAAGATAATCAATGCTGGAAACTTGTTCAAATATGAGAGATTCAAATTCTGCCGTAAATCGGCTCCAAAAAGACGGTATTCAGTTAGTGGAGTCCGGTCAGTGTTAATTCAGTTCAGTAACTGTAAAGTTACTCCAATTATGAAACTAGTTAAATTCAGCTATAAGCAGCTCTACAGAAGATATAAGCTGTAATATACTTACGACTGAGGCTAGTTTAAACCTACTGCCGAATCTGATTTTCTGATAACCTCATAGAATTATAAATATTTGTAATAAAAAAATCCTATCAGAATTTATTATTGCTCACATGCAGATATTTTAATCTATTTCATCTTGTGTATATGTGAAGTCTTCAGATTTAATCTATCTTAAAAGCTTTGGCTGATCTCGGAGCCGATTAATCTAAATCCATTCTAATGCCCCACAAAGCTTGAGTAGAGACCAATCACTTTATGGTTTTACAAGTTGCTCACAGATATCAGGGTACGTTACTGTGCCAGATGTTTAAAATTGATTTGGTTTTGTTTTGTAGGACAGGGTCAGAACTGGAATCAGGGCTACAATAACTACTGGAATCAAGGCTACGGTAACCAGGGATATGGCTACAGCGGCCAGCAAGGTTACGGTGGATACGGAGGCTACGGCAACTACGATTACACAGGGGGCTACTACGGCTACGGCAGCGGATATGACTACAGTAAGCACTGATTGTCCTTGGGGTTTCCTCCCCGCCCCCGTCAGGTTCTTGTGAATGCGAGGGACTCAAGTTCCTTTCTCTGCTCTTTCTGTATGATGCCTGATTGTCAAGCTTATTTTTTTTTTTTTTTTTTTTTTCCCCCACCACTCATGGTAAGGTTAATTTGGTTGTGTTGCTCCATTTCCAATTCATCTCCATTTACCCAGATGAGCTATAAGGCAGATAGAGCGATCCATTTTGGGGTGGGTTTTTATGGTCCAGTAGGGTTGTAGCAATAGATACAGGCCCCATCTCTTCACCTCATTATTATTATTATTATTATTATTATTAATTTTTTTTACAAGTTAACGGTTTACATAGATTAATGTGGCTAAATCTCAGTGTTTTCTCTTTTAAAGGTCGTAAAGCTACCGAGCAGGAACCAACGGTCTGGTCACAGTGAACATTGGGATCTTTTACTTTTGGAAGTTGGCAGAATCTGGACTTCTGCTTCATTTTGTACAGAAAACATAAGGAAATGGGGGGCGCAAATGTCACTTCACATTTGTTTTAATTTTTTTTTTTTTTTTTCATTGTAGGCTCAGAGCCCTCAAAATGCTTTCAAAATAAACAGTTTTGGTTAATTTCTTTTATTGTTTCTAGATTAATTTTTGTCCTTTGTCACCTGTGCTTAGTTTTGCAAAGTTGCATGGCTTCAAGGTGAGATAAAAAGGGATTTCCTACCGATTGTAAGCTTGTCCATTAAAATCTGTTAGTGGCAAGTCTTGGTGACTTTTTTTTTTTTTTTTTCCCTCTACTGCTTTTAAGGAGAATTCCTCCCATCTTGTTAGATATTTAAGAGTGGCTTTAATAGTGATTCAGCTATACCTCAAAACATACACAGGTAACTGTAACATGATTCTTTCTCGAAACACTGGATACATGTTTCTCCAGTGTCTTGGACAAATTTCAAGAAATAAACTTGATTTTTAAGATGTCTAAGTCTTTTGCGTTTAATTTACATAATGAAGTTGTCTTAACCAATAAAATCTAGATTGCATTTTGAAGAAATTTTAAATGTTAAATAAATGCTGGTAAAATTGACAGTAAATTGTGACAGTTTAAAGTGACAGTAAAAACTAGGTTGTTGTAAGAGTTTATGAGAGTTCAGTCAGGATTGTTTTATAGAGGCAGCTGGAAGTAGAAAATAGATCACTGTTTAAACTAGGCTAGTTTGTATCTAAACCTGACAGAAATTGTTTGGACCACAGCCTAAAGGGACATACATGGATAAAGCATCTTGTTCCAAATTTAACCTATTATATAAAGAGAAGTTACTACAGCACATCTTTCATTTCTGCTTTTGTTATAACTTAAAATTCTATTTAAAGCAACAGCAAACTTACTACATTTGTCACAGTTCTGGATATTTTTCCTTGAGCTGATATGTGCAGAGGACTTGGAGTGAGTTTTTAGTTAAACATTTTAGAAAGTTGTCTAAAATTGGCATGGCATGGTGTGTAGTAACAGCATCTACCATGCTAACCAGCCTAACCTATAGATATATATATAGGGCATTTAAAGAAAGTACTACTTTAAGGATGCATGTAATTGATTAAAGGTGACAGTAAAGATGTATAATAAAATGTATATTTCAATAAATGCCCTTACAATTTCCACAAAAATATTAAGCAGCAAGCAACTGTTTTCAACATTAATAAGAAATGCTTCTTAAGCATCAAATTGGCTTAATTAGAATGATTTCTGAAGGATCATGTGACACTGAAGCCTGGAGTAATAAATTACTTATTTAAAAATCTATTAAAATAGAAAATTTATTTTTAATTAATATTTTACTATACTGTTTCCACTTCATCAAATAAATGCAGCCTTGGTGCATAAAATACTTAAGCAAAAACATTTCAAAAGAATATTACTAACATTTAAACATCTTTTGTTCATGAAGTTAATTTGTATCTTCTAGTGTTTTGCTCCAAGACAGTCATATTTACTTTATGACAAAGTTTTTCATATGGCCAATTTTTTGCTTAAAATTTTAGCTTATAAATGTTGCTGCGTTGCAAGTTCTGACAATTCCTTCTGTAAATGCAAATCTAGTTTACAGAAGTCACATGCCTTTTTAACAGTAGAAGGAAGTCCATGGTTTTTGTAGGTGAGTTATGCAAATTTGAAACACAAGATGTATAGCAGTATACCAATATGAAATTTTCTAAAATTCTAAACAGATCAAATGACAACTATGTTTCTTTCTTTTTTTTTTTATTTCAATCAAAATAATAAAACCTGAGGAAATCCAGGCAAATGAAACAAAAGGAAAACCCTGAGGGCACACAATGGTGTACATTTATGTTCTGATGCGCTTTTTAAGGTGAAACACCAAACTTATGCAACAGACATTTATTTGGCATATAGTCGGTCTTTGCCATTAAACAATCAATAATGTTTGTTGAGATATAAAGCTCAGAAATTAGAGAATTTGCCATGGATTTCCCCCGGCTCACACGTAATGCAACATTTTCTTAAAAAAAAAAGGTAGAAAGTACGATATGTACAATAAAGAACTTTAAAACACTGCCACTTGAAAAAAAATTTTTTTTTGTCTTTTTCTTGTAAGCGTCTAACAAATACTTTTAAACAAAAGAATAAGACACCCTTTGGCTGTTTAGCTCATTAAAAAGCCCTGTAATCTGGTGAATATGTGATGTCCGCTGATCGTGGGGGAAGCAGCAACATCTCGACAGATAAAATAAAGAATTCTCCACAGGAGGTAGATGAAAGACTCAAATGTCCATCTCAAACTGGTTGTCATCAGCTAAAAAAAATAAAAAGAGAGGTTGATTAGAGTGTTTCTTTGAGGTATTCTATGGAAGCCCGTTCCCACCACAAAATCAAAACAGTAATTATGACTATCTCACAATTCTGACTTGTTCTTGCAATTCTGACTTTATTTCTTATTTTAGTTTCAATCTTATAATTGTTTATATATATATATATATATATATATATAAAGATAAATTTTTTTCCTTGCAATTGCAGCTTTTTATCTCATATTTCTGACTTTTTCCCTCACATTTTTTATATTTCCCACACAAAGTTTATATCACAGTTCTGAGTTTGTCTTGCAATTCTAACTTTGTCTTCAAAAAAAATAATAATTGTGAAATATAAACTCAGCATTGCAAGACAAAACAAAAACAGGACAGGATATACCAAAATAATGTGTTTCATGGGAAACCTGAGGGCTTAAAGTGTCCTGGAAATGTTATCGCAGAACAGATTTTCATTCTTTATTTTTCTTTTTCTGGAGCAGACGGCAATTTTACCTGTCAGATCCTTCTCCTCCTCCTCCTCCAACTCCTCTTTGAGTTCCTGCAGTTTGGACATTGGATGGAGTGAAGGAATGGTTACCCCAGGAATCTGGGGCAAACAACAGGGTGGGGTCCGGGCAATGGGAGAGTTCCTGCAGTCCAGGAGGAATTTTCTATCATAAATGATCCGAGTTCCTGGAGGAGGGATAGAACGTATATTAAAGCAACCAATCAGATGGCTAGAAAAATATATTTACATTCTAGGCTGCAGGGTACAACATGTAAGGGAAAAAAAAAACCTTAAGATTCCAGCCAAATGTTTTAGCACTCAAAAACAAATGATAAAATGTGACTCCGAAGAAGATTTCTTGGGATTAAAACCAAAATGAACAGCAATTCTAATCTATTTAACAAAACAAAAGAAAGATGGCAATTAACTCGATGTGCCACTCAACATGTCCACGCGATCAGATTGTAAACAAAGACTGAAATGTTTCACATTTTGCATGTGAAAAGAAGCACTCAAGCTCCCACAATGAAAAATGGGGTGAACTGAACTGCAGGACTCAGCACCTCCCGTTTTAGTTCTAGGAAATTTGAGCCCGTCTGCACATGAGCAAGCAGAGCCGAGACGTGAGGGCACCGCAATGTAACAGATGAGTGTTGTGAACATGTAGTGAACAAACTTATGGAACTTAACTAGCCCCAGTTAGGTTTGTTCTGACTTAAGAGCTGTTGAAGGTGCTGTCTGGAGTCTGATATGCGCTAAACGTCGTGCCATTTCTGTTGTAGCTGAAGCTATACTCTACCCAGCAGTCCAACCAGTGGCTGAAAAACATGTTATGCAACCTTTGCTATTTAGTTCAGTGTGTTCTGGACAAAAGATGGCGGAGAGAGAAGGGGCAGGGGCAGGGTGTGGATGGAGATGGTGGTCTCAACTGTGAGCTGCTCCGGTCAGTGGAATGCAGGGAGACCAACCCAACGGTTTCAGCAGGAATTTGTTCTGCTGAAGCATGTTTTGTTCCCTGATTGCTCTTCAGCAAGTGTGCAATTTGCTTAGATTTTTACTCCCAATCACAAGAAAAACAACAGAAAAAAGGGAAATTATATTTTGCATTAAGAAAACAAAGCTCACATTTGGATTATTATTGGCATAATTGTGACATTATGTTCATGTATTTGTTCTTTAAATAAACAGTACAACAAATACTACCTTGAGATGTATGAATTATTTCACCCCAAAATCAACAGAAAAAAGTGAAATTATATTTCATATAAAGTTGTTTTTGTTTTTAATCGTTTTATTTATTTATTTTGTGTGTGTGTGTGGGGGGGGTAATTGTGACATTTTAGCACCAATTTTTACAACTTCTGTATTTTTTTTTGTATGTTTTTCAGTACACAGTACAATAAATACTACCATGTAGTGTATGAATTATTTATTATATATATTATATATGAACACAATGCAAAAAATCTTAACGGTCCATCAAGCAAAATATTTTTCTTTCTTTATTTTGGTTGTGGCAGGTTTAGCGAGATATACTGTCATATATATGAATGCACATGTCTCTGATCTGTTATTTTGCTTTCTCCCCTGAGGGAACCATCCATGATACAGTGGCCCCAATGAACCCATTTTCCTGAGCACATAGAGTTCTGTTATTCCTGAAATCCACAACAGCTGTGAAGGAGGAGGGGTGTTTCTAAGAATTGCCTCCTCCTCTGCATGTGCTACAGTTACAGCCACATGCGAAAGATATACTAGTATACTAGAGGGACAAAGGAGATTGAGAAACATGTGGGGTAGAGGGTCCTTCTCATTAAATAAAGGGGTCAAGAATTTGTTTTTCGCAAGATTAGATTAACTCAATGCCTAGTATCATATGGGAGCATGTAAGTTGCAAATCAGACAACCAGACATTGTTACATAACAACAAGCATGGCAGTTGGACTATCTTGCTGCAGACGGTCTGCCATAAATGATTAACTTGTTGTTCATAACAAACGTTTGTGTAGCAACAGGAATGTGTACCAGTGAGACATTTCGCAGGCACACTATATCTCAGATCATTACAATTTGATAACATGAAAAGAGGTTTTAGTTTTAATGTACTTTGTTAAAATGCACGCCCACAATCAATCGATAAATAAAATCAACATGAAAATGAAAATACAGGGTCTTATTGCAAGTCAACTAATATAGCAAAGGTTAAAAAGTATTGCACAGACTTTTATATTGCTTAAAATAGTTCAGATTGAGTGCAGTTTAACACATGGTGAGTTGTAACACCATGAGTTCAACCAAGAAAGAAATGAGCTACAGTGGTTAAATCACAATCATCCATGACTAGCATCCTCCTGAGGTGACAGTAGAAGTTTTCTCTGCAAAAATATTAAAGATTTACAGGACAAAAATAATGCTTAAGCAAAAATGATTTTTTTATTTGTGATCATTGATCATTTTAATGAACCTTAAATAACCTTGTTGAACCTTGTTGCTTAATTTGATGTACAATATCCATATATTTTTCAAACAGATAAAAATACATGTTCACCAACCTACACTATAAAAAAAAACACGCTGTATAGGCACACAGTCTTACCCCCTGGTGTGGTGGAGAAGAGCGTTCCTCCAGGGGTCTGACTGTAGCAGTCTGGGAGCTGGGACCAGTCTTTGAGGTGCAGGACACGCGTGGGAATGGGGCAGCTCTTGCTCTGCTGCGTGTTGGCGGACATCGTGGGTGAAATGCGCTCAAAACTCTGTGCCACTGAACAAGATGATATACAAGGGCTCTGAATGCTTGCTTCTATCCCACACTCGTGTTTGGTTAAGATCAAACTTAGCGCAACAAAGTTTCAAACTACACAAAAAAACGACAAAGATATTTTTATCGTGCTGCGGACAGCGCTGGTCTCGTGATACTCGCTGAAGAGAGGCTGTCCGTCTGTCTGTCGGCAGTGGTGCAGCCGAGCGCTTGCGGGTGAGGGGGTATTTAACAACAGCTCAGACTACGTGACTCGCTCGCCTCGTGATAAACGATACTTGAGCAACAAAAAAGAAAACAGGCGGTGTAACATGCAGGGTTGCCAAATCTTTCAGGGAAATAGATTTCTTTTTGACAAATCTTCTGCCAAGGATGTGAATTTCCACGACACTTTACACAAACATGTATGGAAGCCAAGTTCCTCCTTAATACATACATACATACATAAACAGTGTTGGGGAAAGTTACTTTTATAAGTAATGCATTGCAATATTGCGTTACTCCATACAAAAGTAACTAATTACGTTACTTAATTACTTTTTGTTACCCCCAACACTGTACATAAAAGTTATAATAAGTATGACATAAGTCTAAATCATATGATAAAAATGTATAAGATAGAAATAGAAATATATAAATGAGATATAAAATACTATACATAATTATAAATAAAAAGTTGAGATTATGAGACATTAAGTCATCATTTCGACTTTTACGTCATATGATTTTTTTTCTTGTGTCAGAAACGTGCTACCAGAATTATAGGATGAAACATAAAAAAAAATTAAAAAATTAAAAAATTAAACAAATGGTTAATAAAAAGAGGTTAACCTTTATGAAAATTATGGAAAATTATTTTTGCCAACCTCAGGGGGTCAAGCTAATTTTATATGAGCTGTTTATTATTGTTATTATTATTATTATTATTAATTTTGTGTTATTGATATTTGGAACATGTCTAAACAGTTTGAAGCTCAGTTTAAAAACAATTAACATTAATAATAGGGTTGTAAATGTAGCCTTTATATTATATATTGTATATTTTTCAGAAAGTAGAGAAAAAATATTAATATTTTTTTAAGACTGTTTGAGTGAAATGCCAGGCAAATACGAATATAAACAGAAACTGTTCAAAGGTGTATCGAATAGGATTAGTCGTGTGTAAATAGTAACATAAGTTCCTGTTAGTGATACAGGTAGCGAACGAACGTCATGTACTAAAATAATATGGCACAATAAAATTTAGGCATATTATTGACATATAGATTTAGAGTGCTGTAGTTTACAGAAGCACTTCATATAGAAATAAATCGAAAGGAAGACAGCATAATATCTCGCCTTAGAATTGGACACACTGCACTTAATCAATCATTATTTATAATAGGAAAACATGAGTCTGGACTTTGTGTTAAATGTGATCTTCCTGAAACAGTTGAACATATTTTAATAAAATGTAAAGGATATGACAACGAAAGAGTACAACTTACAGAAGCACTTCATATAGAAATAAATCAGATCTCACTTCAGAAATTGTTAAATAAAGATGTGACTATAGAAATGTTTCACATATTATTGAAGTATCTCAAAGATGCAGAGTTAATAAACAGGATTTAAAGAATCACTACTATTTTTTTAATTTTTATTATTATTATTATTATTATTATTATTATTTTTATTTTTTATATTTTTTTTTTCCTTTAACGTCAATGCTCCACACTCCATCCTAGTAGGTGGCGGTAAATGCACCTAAAGCTGGTTTGCCAAGAAGAAGAAGAAGAAGAAGAAGAAGAAGAAGAAGAAGAAGAAGAAGAAGAAGAAGAAGAGTGCTGTAGTTTCACATCCCAAACAGCAGGTGTCGACAAACGCCTCTTTCAGTTTCTGAATCCGCCTTAGATCAGAGAAGAGCTCCGTTTATCGCCCTCTCATAGGCGAGCACAGTTCAGCTTCTCGTGTTTTATAATTAATTTACTTATTGTAGACGTGTATATGAAGCTGTATGATAAAATACTCTATTAAGGGGTAAATAAGTCACGTCTCTTTGCTTCGGTTGAGTAGACGAAACGTCTTTGAGGGGGTTATCAGAAGGTATGTGGTTCAGCTAGCTCGCTAAGCTAACAGTTTCCTCACTTATGCAAAAGAGTTTCCCTCATTTATTATGTAAATAACTATTAACTTAAAGGGATTTTCTTGTTTTTTCGTTTTGACTGAATAGAGAATGAATAGGGAATGTTTAGGTGCATGATTGATTGGATTAGCTTTTAATTAATAGTTATGTATTTATTTATTTTATTTTGGCTGGGCATTTTGCTTTATATGTTGTATGTCTGGGGTAGTTTACCATGCAGTGGTGCTTCATTTGAGATGCAGATGAGTGTCTAGAATGAAGATCATTTGAAAACAAATATTAGTTTTTGTGTTATACTAGTATATTATAGAGTCACTTATTCTATATATTGTGTTTAACCAGGGTTGTTTCCAGCATGGCGGATGGAGAGGGTTTTGTGGTGAGAGTCAGAGGATTACCCTGGTCCTGTTCTGTTGATGAAGTTCAGTGGTTTTTCTCAGGTAAAAAAAAAAAAGCCTCTGCTTAAATCTTTTCCCCTTAGATTTTATGACTAATTCTAGCTAAATTTCATCATAGAGTGCAAAATTGCAAACAATGGGACAAGCATACATTTCACATACACACGGGAAGGGCGACCAAGTGGAGAGGCGTTTGTCGAGTTCGAATCAGAAGAAGACCTTAAAATTGCAGTGAAGAAAGATCGTGAAACCATGGGCCACCGTTATGTAGAAGGTGGGCAGCTGTTTTTGCCTTAGTTAGGATCCTTAAAGGAATAATTCAACCAAAAATAAAAAATAGCTGAAAATGTATGCACACACAGGCCATCCTTGTAGATGAGTTTGTTTCTTCATCAGAACAGACTTGGAGAAATGTAGCATTACATCACTTGCTCACCAGTGGATCCTCTGCAGTGAATGGGTGCCATCAGAATGAGAGTCCAAACAGCTGATAAAAACATCACAATAATCCACATGAATACAGTAATACATTGTCATATATGTTTAGAACTGTTTTGGGCTGCGTTTCCCGATAACGTTGTCTCTTAGCTCGCTACAAAGACTCTAAAGGTATATCTTAAAGGGGTCATATGATGCTGCTAAAAAGAACATTATTTATGTTTCGGGAAACACGTATTAACGTAAAGGTACAACTTAAGGTATAACTTACGAACGACGTAGCATTAAGAAGGTTTCGGGAAACGCAGCCCTGGACTGTTTTCACTTCTAAATCGTACTTGATATGTGCATATTTCTCTCCTGATTCAGACAAGGCAGAAGCAACGGTTTGAAGTTAAAAATGTCTTTGATGGGTTTGTTTCTTATAAACACACAGCTTTTCACTTCACAGGATGTTAATTGATGGACTGGCGTGGTGTGGATTACTTGTGGATTATTGTGATGTTTTTATCAGCTGTTTGGACTCTCATTCTGACGGCACCCATTCACTGCAGAGGATCCACTGGCGAGCAAGTGATGTAATGCTTAATGTCTCCAAATCTGTTCTGATGAAGAAACCAACTCACCTACATCATGGACTATTTCATCTATTTCATGGACTAAAATGCTGATCGATTCATATGTGCTTTCAGTATTCAAATCCAATAGTGTTGAGATGGACTGGGTTCTGAAGCACACCGGACCGAACTGCCCGGACACAGGAGGGGACGGCCTGGTTAGGCTTCGCGGTCTGCCATTTGGATGCAGCAAGGAGGAAATTGTCCAGTTTTTTGCAGGTATGTCCGATAGGAAGTTCGAATTGCCCTATTTACTCAAAATTAAACAGTATACCAACATTTAGCTAAGGTTATTTTAGTTCATCGGACCATCATTTGCACATAAACGAGCTTTGAACATTTAAACCAAAGTGCTCCGTTTTAGTCATTTAATCTTTAAAATTAGGAATAGTTGATATTTGTATTGAATCTTAAGGATTGGACCATCCAGAAGGACCAAGATGGGTCACTTTTTATTCAGCTTTGTCCTTTTATGCAATTATTAGAATTTGTTCTTTCTTTTTTCTTTTTTTTTTTATTAAACTGCCTCAGCCCTTTTTGTATTTTATATACCTAAAACAGGTGCACAGAAATGTAGGTAATTTTTGGGGCTTACCAAACAAACAAGAGATGAGTTGAGACCATAGTACCATTTCTCATTTGACATAAAGATAAACCCATAGAGTAATATAAAGTCTTGTTAATGGGCTTGTGACTTAATTTGTCCCCCACTGGGGTTATCTGTCCTTGGGTTGAAGGGTTGGAAATCGTGCCAAATGGGATAACATTGCCGGTGGACTTCCAGGGGAGGAGTACGGGGGAGGCCTTCGTGCAGTTTGCTTCACAGGAAATAGCTAAAAAGGCTCTAAAGAAACACAAGGAAAGAATAGGGCACAGGTGGGGATGGCTGGTTGGTTGCCTGGATACGTTGCTTTTCTTATGGTGTTCACCTCAATAAATCATCCACTGCAGAAATGGCAAGATATGACCACAGATGATTTGACGGCAAACAAAAAACAAGGAAAATGAAGTCCAGTAGCCTTAAGATTATGTATTATTAGTGCTGAGTGAGCCATTGAGCTGCACTGTGTCAATTTAGAGGGATAACTGAATATGGGCACTTTTGAGACAGTTTAGTGAATTTTTACTCTTAACTGTCCTTTACATGAGCATTCAAATCATTTTGGGTTGTAATGGGCAGTTATATCAGCCAGACATATATGGTGCGGTCGAATTTCTGCAGAATTTTGCGGGCAAAAATAGTTTATTGTAAATTGTCTATAGTGTAGCGGTGTATGAAGCACAGTTCACGCAGAAGTCACTTTCAAACCAAGCAGCTTTCTGTTGGTTGTAGTGAATTTGCGAAAAGCTTGAACCTCTTGCAAAATCTGCATGGGGAAATCTTTGGTCCTCACATGAAATTCATGGTTGTGTCTGGATTCCTGGCTGGATTTCATCTGTAACTACATCTTAATACGGCAGTAGTTTAACTTATATGTTTGACATGAGTAATATTGTGAAATATTATTACAGTTTAAAATAACTGTTTTCAATTTGAATGCTTTACAATGTAATTTATTCTTGTGATGCCAAAGCTGAATTTTCAGCATCATCACTTCACTCTTCAGTGTCACGTGATCCAACAGAAATAATTCTAATGTGATGATATGCTGCTCAAGAAACTTTTCTTATTATTTGAGATGTTTGACGTAAACCCTTCCCTGCTTCCCGGCTTGTCACGTGGCCACTCAGCACTAAGTTTTATGCAATAGGAATATCTCCGTTTTTCTACCATTTTGAAGACTTCAGATCACGAGGACCCAGTTAAACAGGTAATACAAAGTTAGCCCTAGCAGTCTGAAGTGCTTTGCCAGCAGAGAACAAAAGCAGCGTGTCAGTCCAATAAGACCCAGACCACAGTAACACATTGCCAACTGCCTTCGGGTGACCATAAGAAAAGTTCTTCATAATGAAGGGTTGAATGAAACTAAATATTTTAGGGTTCTTCATTTTCTGTCTCTCTCTCTGTCTCTTTTTTTCGGAAACTGTTACATAAAGTCACTGAACGGAGATGCTGACTGTTAGTGTCATCCCAGAATCATTCTTACTAAGGTTGCCTGTTCATTAGACCCGTTTTCAGACAGCCCTTATTTATACTGCACGCAGGAATGCCTTTTCTCTTGCCGGTAGACCCTGGTGCCATTACTCTGCAATTTCGTCCTTAGGTATATAGAGATCTTCAAGAGCAGCCGTGCAGAAGTGCGCACACATTATGAACCCCAGCGTAAGGTCATGGGCATGCAGAGACCAGGCCCCTACGACAGGCCTGGAGGTGGCCGTGGCTACAACAGCGTGGCCAGAGGAGTCTCCTTTGAGAGAATGAGACGTGGAGGCTACGGTGGAGGTATTTCCGAAAGTATTTTCGGTTGTTATTAACATTGCTACAAATGCTATTGAAGGAGATTAATAATATTTAACTTTGAACTTTCCTTTGATATATCTCACTACAGAAGTTTGGGGTCGGTATGATTTTTTTCTAAAATATTTTATTCTTACCAAGGCTACATTTATTTGGTCAATAAAAACAGTAATATTGTGAAACATTATTACAAATGTAAGTAATTGTTGTCTATTTGAATATTGTAATTTATGCTGTGATGGAAAGCTTAATTTTCAATATCATTACTCCAGTCTTCAGTGTCTTCAGAAATCATTCTAATATGCTGATTTGCTGTTTAAGAAATGTTTGTTGAAATGTTGAAAATATTTTTGTGGAAGCCGTGATAATTATTTTATAAAAATATACAAGAAAGTCTTTATGAAAGTCCTTATAAAAGTATTTTCTGTTACTTTTGATGAGGTAATGCCTTGCTGAATAAAAGTATCAATTAAAAAAAAAAAAATACTCCAGATAATTTTTTGTGGATATGATGAATTTTTTTCAGGGTTATGTGATTGACAGAAAGTTAAAAAGAACATTTGCTGTCACTTTTGATCGATTTAATGCATCTTGCTGAATTAAAGTGTCTATTTTAAAAACTTAAAAAAGTACCCTTGACTTTTGAGTGGTAGTGTGTATATAATGAAAAATAAAGACACTATGCCACTCGTTTGAAATAGTTACAAAACAATAGTTGCAGATTTGGACTAACTGAATGGTTATAGGTTCAAACCTCGTGTGATTTCAAGGAGACTTTCCTTGGAATAATGTCACTTTAGATAAGAAAGCCTCTGCTAAATGAAGAATAAAGGAGCTTTATTTTACTCTGTTGAGAAATCTTTGAATCTTGCTCTGTTTCTACAGCTTCCTGTCAACATACTGCACAGTTAAGTCAAACAGACAACGAAAGGCTTATCAGGCAGAATATATTTTTTCTTAACTTGTTCTTATTTGCCTCAAAGATGGTCGTTATGGAGACAGCGGCTCCTCCTTTCAGAGCACAACAGGACATTGTGTGCACATGAGAGGCCTTCCGTACAGAGCCACTGAGACTGACATATACAATGTGAGTCCTTATTCACACGAATATGCGTTTATTTCAAGTCTGTGTACTTGTAACGGTTAATACAAAGTGTTTATATGATTACATAGCATCCTATTTAATGTCCTCTTTACTGTCTATTTCCATGTTTTCTTCTCTAGTTCTTCTCTCCACTGAACCCAGTGCGTGTTCATCTGGAGATCGGTCCTGATGGAAGAGTAACAGGCGAGGCGGATGTAGAGTTTGCTACACATGAGGACGCTGTGGCAGCCATGTCCAAGGACAAAGCCAATATGCGTAAGTGTTAGCAGAGGAAACAAAGGTAATACTGAATGATTTTCATTAAAGGGATAGTTCACCCAAAAATAACAATTCTGCTGTTTGGTTACCCACATTTTTTAAAATACCTTCTTTTGTGTCAGCAGAAATTCATAAAGGTTTTGAACAACTTCAGGTTGAGTAAATGAGAGAATTAATTTTAGAGTGAACTGTCCCTTTAAATTCCATCCTATTAATTGGTGTTGAATGTTTGCATTTTTTTGTTGAATGAAACTGAACACCTTAGTAAAACACTTTGGTTATGATGGATGATATTCTGAAGCCTAACTGACAACACTAAAGGCCTGTTCACACCAAGGACAGTAACTGTAACGATGAAGTTTTGAATTATATCGTTGGAAATGAATCCCTTTCAAAGCAACTTTTCAAGCTAATGAATAATGAAAACTTTGATAGCCAATCAGAATCCACTTAGCATTTAAACCGGCAGACAACAAAACTGTGGCATGTGTTTATAATAAACATAATGTTATCGTCTGTTGGTGTGGACACTAAATAAATATAGTTATCATTCTTTGTGTGAATGGGCTTTTATTCTCATGCAGAGCACCGTTATGTGGAGCTGTTCCTAAACTCCACGGCAGGGGGTGGAAGTGGAGGGTATGGTGGCCAAATGATGGGCAGTATGGGTAAGACTTCTCCTTCAGACATAAGTAACTCTTACTGAGCAGCTATCATAAATGCATAATTGTTGCTCTGCAGGAAACCAGTCGTCATATGGACACAGCAGCCAACAGATGGGCTCTGGCTACAGCGGTGGTTATGGTAACCAGAGTGGCATGGGGGGCTACAGTGACTACAGTGAGTGTCAGCTCTTCCGTAGCTCTGCTAGGCAGTTCCCTGCCAAATCCTATCACCCTTGGACCCTTAGGTGTTGCTGTTCTTAATGCCTGATTAAAAAGCCTTTCATGTTATCCTGTTGTAGCTGATCAGGTAAATACAATCACAATTAAACAGTACCTCAATAGCAATAATATAATTTTAATAAAGTTTGTCTGGATTTTACATTGACTACATAGTATCTTTCTGTTGTGCTAACTAAAATTGAATAAATGTGTACCTTTCAACATCATAATGTTCACATATTTAACAGAGAGCGCACGATTCAGTGAAGGTTGCATGTAAAATGCATAGGTTATGTTGATGATTAGCTTACTAACCAAAACAAAGACATTTAATTTTACCATTTTATATATGACATAGTCTCTGTCCCAAGTCAGGGGCTGCATTCTTTGAAGTCTGTGAAGGCCAAACCAAGTATTGTTTAAATCGGACGGTCTAGCCAATGGTGGATTGCTCTTCTTGCTTAGCAACTGAGACAGCTGCTGTTGTTGACAAGCGGCAATCAAGTTTGTACTAGACTTTTTTGAAAGATCTGAAAACAAAACAGTGTTCACAGCCTATCTAAATATGTTCTCCTTGGTCCATTTATGTACATAATAAAAAGTATAAATCCTATCTATAGAATTGCTTCTTAGTGAGACATTTGTGATAGTCTGGGCCACGAAGGATCCATCTGTTGCATCCTTCGTGACCTGGGAAACGGCGGACACATTTTGAGGCTGTATGTGATAGAGCCGTTAAAATGTAAAGCCTTCATCACCACACTGTATTCTGTCTTGAAATGCAGCCTCTGAATTAGGACATTACAATTTGTACACAGGATGTGTAATTAAATACTTTTTTTTTTGATGTGTTGTTGCTGGTTAAGACTTAATATTTTGGGATTTATAATTGGGTTCCAAATAGAACATCCAGAGAGTTCTTCCAGCAGATGGAATCTTTTAGGGGTCCAAGTGGGGTAGAATTTGACACATCACTCAAGGCCCTATGTCTCACAATGTGTTAAAGTCATCAAACCAGCATTATCTCTGGCACTGGATTGCATGCACTTCTAATGATGTAATGTTTAAACCCAAAGTTTAAACAGTTTCACCTTTGACCCCATCTGACCATTTAAACAGTTCACCTGAGGTATTGTTACATGGGTGGTGCCAGTGTGTAAAAACAAACAACTAAACAGGACTTGTATACCTCTTACAATACTGCTTATTGCTTTTCATGTGGAATTTAAAAAATGTTGTGTAATAGTATTATTGAGGTGCTGTTATAATTATTAATAATTTGAATCCGTTGTATTTTATATATTGTTTTCATTTTGAGTTTTAGTCATTTTGTTTTTTTGTCATTTTAGTGTTTTATACATGTCTGTATAGTTTTAGTAATTTTTGCTTTAGCTATTTTAGTACAATATTAAATTACGCTAACATGAGAATTTTGCTGCCTTGGCAATTAGCTGAAATAAGCTGTTTTATATTTTAAGTAATGATGTTTTTGTGATGGTTTTTAGTTTTAGTTAACTATAATAACACTGTAAATCACCCTTCCATGACAAACCTCCTACCCGTCAGATTGTCCTACCAGGGCTTACTGCGAATGTGCACATCAATAATGCATCAATTTTCTCACGCTGAACAATACATAATTACTGTATTTGCATTACTGTAAGGGTAGGTTTAGGGTTGGGGTAGGTGTACATGTTAATAAAGCATAATCTGATGGGTAGCATTTTTTGTTGTCTCATTGTGCTACCTACTGTAAGGGTAGGTTTAGGGTTGGGGTAGGTGTACATGTTAATAAAGCATAATCTGATGGGTAGCATTTTTTGTTGTCTCATTGTGCTACCTTCTGTTTCAATGGGAGGTAGCAAAATCTGACAGGGTAGCACAAATCGTCAGAACACCGGGCCTCGAGAGTCACCGTGTAAGTGGTGATTCTTTCCGCACTGAGAACTCCCTGGTCCTAAAATGTGTATTTCTCCTTCCTGTCAGGTAATCAGGGCGGAATGGGGGGCAGTTACTACGGTGGAGGGAGCCGCGGGTCCATGGGAATGAACGGCCTCAACAGCGGCATGGGGGGAGGCTGGGGGATGTAGCCTCCAGGCCTTTCAGAGCTTTATAACCTTCATTTGAACAGTGTCCTCTTTCATTTGTTTGTTCTTTGTTCCTTGCTCCCTTCTAAGTTGTGTTTGGGTCTGTACACAGGCAAACTTCTTTTTCCCTTTTGACATGGTTGAAAGAAATCCTAACTAGAGGTAGTAATTTATGTTAAAGAGAAACTCTTTATTTGCTGAAATGTGACAGCCCTTGTATCACACTGGAGAGGTTCCTGTAAATCTGTTTTTACATTGGAGTATTAAAGAGGTGTTTTTGTTTCCTCACAACAGGACCCTATGGGCAAACTTAAAGCCTTTCGTACAGCTTGACATCTTTTGCACGTGGAGGTTTCACTCTGTCGGTGATTGTAGCATCATATCTTAAACTTTTCGCTGCAAAGGTGTTTTGTGTGTACTTAATGCTTAATCTAGGCCGATAGCTGAAAGAGTTTAAATTTAGAGACCAATTGTTTTTATTATTATTTTGAAGCATGGTGGGAAGTGGATAGGTTTCATTTAGATGCATGTAACTCTTTGCATTTGCTTTTTTCCCATGCAATGTATCACCTGTGATTTCAGTGTAGTGGACAAATGTCTGATTCCTCATGGCTTCACAGATGGATTAATAATTTGAGGCAGTGTTTATTAAATCGTACACAATTCTATAAAATCTTCAGAAACTTCATTACAGCTTTATGAACATAACAGGAGACAAAAGAGGGTACAACCCAGGAAACGATCTAAAATAGACATTTTGTATTCAGAGAGCCTTAAAAAGTTTTATAAAAAAAAATTTTTTTGTCTGGCATGAGCAAAAAAGTTGGAGAAAATACAATCCATCTGCTCTTGCATACTATAAATGTAATTTTACCTTTTGACAACAAAAATTAATTTACAGACTTTTGAGCCTCATTCATGATATTAGCAGAACAAATGTGTTCATAAAACCATTTTCTTGAATAATTCACATATCTACTAACTTCATACAGGAACTGGTCCCACTTTTTGACCCTGATAGTGGTATATTTTTGTATGACATGCACAGATTAAATGCACAAGCACATACACAAAAAATTTGTGATAAAGATTACAATTCAGCAATGCCATGTCTCCTTAAAAATTACAATTGAACGCTTATCAGAATTTAGAAAATCGTTACAAATTTAATTCGGTCTATTTTGATAAGAGGAGACATGACAAAGACTGAAAAGCATGAAGAGTATTGAAATATGAATCCTCTGCATCCACTCGATGAACCCCTGAAAGGCTTATATGTGTTAGTGCTCTCCCTAAAATGGAGACTATCATTATAAATACTCATATTAATGTTAGTTTCTAATTATCCTGGCATCTTCCTGTCAAAGAAACTTTGCATATGATTTTGCAACAATCAAAGGTTTTGGTCAAACGGAAGCCAGTGGTGCCACAAGAAATGAATGTTTAAGTGTTAAAAACAAAGAGATTGAGAGCTTGATTAATACAGGTGGCCTGTAGTTTCACACACACATGATCAGCAGATATGTTGAGTGCTGTCAGGATCTGATGGAGCTCCTCTGGAGCAGAAGGGAATGGCAGACGTCACATACGCGGACAGGTCTGGGGTATGAGGGCAGAGCCAGCTCATTACTGGAGCAGCTGTTGCAGTAGATGTCGCCACAGTTCCTGCAATGGTGCTTCAAACAGAAAAACGAGTAGAGTTACTTGCCAAAGGACAGATATATTGACTGACTGACAGGAGTGGAGCATCACTCACTTTTCTCCGAGAGATTGAGAATTCCTTTTGGCACTGCTTGCACTGTGTAGCTTCATCGTCTTTTAGCCAGGCATGACCCTGGAAAACAGATAAGACAATCATAATTATTATCAAAATCAATAATTATATTTATATATATACTGTATATATATATATATATATATATATATATATATATAGATAGATACTGAACGTAACGTTCCGTAACTGGAAAAAATACTGATACCTGTATTCAGTAAGGATGCATTAAATTGATCAAAAGTGACAGTAAAGTCTATATATATATTTAATAATTATTTAAGGAGGAGAAAACTGATAGACTGGATTCATAAAGAAACAATATTTACAATATTAGATATACTGTATATTGCAGTTTAAAAAAAATATTTTTGTCTATTTTATTACTTAGAAAAGTAATAACACATCTGTCATGCACTATTATGATGATGAGATATCACAACAACAGTGTACGACAAGTTACACAGCAAAGTAAAAAAAAAAAAACAGGAATGCTTGGCAGGCAATACTAAGAAGGGATCTTTAGCTTTGCTGTGCAAATGGACACAAAAAAGGTAACCTTATGAAGCTCTTTTACCTTCAAGGCTTTGTTGACCTCTTTGAAGTCCTCCATCTTGAGTTTGGATCTGAAAGCAGCATTTTAGTTCAAGACATCTAGCGTGTGATATCAAGTCATGTTTATTCATATAGCACTTTATACAATACAGTTTCAAAGCAGTATTAATACTGCAAAGTTCTTCAGTTATGAAATGAACATTTTCAGCTGTGTAGAAGCTCTAAAATGACAATAGCATCATTACTCAGCTGAAGTCAATTCAGTGTGGATTCAATTCAGTTCAAAAAGACTGTCAAGAGTTCAACAATTACGATACAAAGCAGCTCTACAGAAGACAACTGTCATTATCCAGAAATATCAGAAAAATGAGAGTGGAGTTGTCTTACTGGCTGAGATGAAGGCCCATCTCCTGTAGAGCCTGTTCCTGCTCCTCACACAGCTGCTGGAGCTGTTTCTTCTCTTGTCGAAGATCAAGCAGCTCCTGTGGAAACAAAGGTAGATCAAAGCAGTCATTTATTAACACTGTAATACAAAAACTTCACTCTTTCTTTGATTTTACATAATTTAAAGTCTTGTTTTGACTGTACTGGTTAGTTTTCTGGCTGAAGCAGCAGTATATCTGACCGTCTGCAGGCCCTGCAGCTGCTGCAGTTGTGTGCGCAGCTCTGCGCTGTTGTCCTGTTCTCTGTGTAGCTCCCTCTGTAGGTTCTGCCGCTGCTCTTTCTCCGCGCTAAGCTCTGACTCTAGGCCTGCCCTGAAAAAAGAACAGCAACAACACTGAGTCTAAAAAAAAAAAATCAAAATCTTTGTGATAATGTTAGTTTACGGTAGCCATTGACTTCCATTATATATATTATTTCCATAACATGGAAGTCAACTGTTTGGTTACCAACATTCTTCAAAATATCATTTTTTGTGTGTTCAACATCTGAAAGAAATGCATACATGTATACATGGAACAACTTGAGTGTGTATGAGAACTGATGACAACATTTTCATTTTTGGTTGTATTACCCCTTCAAAGTATCTGTGACAGCAAAGTTAGCGCTTTCTAGAAGCCTGATTTACACTACCCGAGTGTGTCGAGGTCAGTGAGACGCTTCTGCAGAGCGTTCACTTTCCCTTTCATCTCCGATCTCAGCTCATTCTGGCTTTCATCCGTGTTTTTGCACACATTTTCTGAATTTTGAAGCCTAAGGAGCAAATACTCATGTTTATTAGGTTTAGAAATAGTACATATCATTTCATACATCTCTATGATGTTCATGTTGTTTCAAACCTGTATGACGTATTTCGCTTACATTCTTCCAAAGACCACGAGGAAAAGAAAGTCATACAGGTTTGGGTAAATGATCAATTATTTGGGGTGAATTATTCCTTGAAAACGTTCTGGCACCTCTGCTCTAGTTGCTTCATAGCTGCTTCCATCTGAATCATCTTCTTTTCCAGTTGTTGCATGTCCTCCTCTTTTTTCTGGGCCACTCGGTCAGACTCCTTGTGGGTTAAACGACAAGACTTAAGTTTCAACTGGTTACAGGTAATCCTGTTCCAGTAACATGTTGTACAGACAATCAGATGTAACACCTGTGCTTTGTTGAACATCTGTAAGTTGAGATTCTTGACTTGATCTAGTTGTTGTCGCAGTGCGACCAGAGTGTCTTGTTTCTCATGAGTGTCCTTTTCCAGGAGTTTCATGGCAACCTCCATTTCCTGCTTCAAACCGATCTGCAGCTCCAGCTCCTTTTGCAGCTCCTGATTTGCCAAACAGTTCATGCAGATATTTTGACTGGCTCCATAAAATACTATATTTACATTAATGCATTAAAGGGATAGTTTACCAAAAAATGAAAATTCTGTCATCATTTACTCAACCTCAAGTTGTTCCATGAGTTTCTTTCTTCTGTTGAACATAAAAGAAGATATTCTGAAGAATGTGGGTAACCAAAAATTTTCTGGACCCCACTGACTTTCATACTATGGAAGTAAATGGGGACCAGCAACTGTTTGGTTAACCACATTCTTCAGAATATCTTTTGTCTAACAGAAGAAAGAATCAACATGAGGGTGAGTATATTTTCTTGTTTGGGTGAACTATCCCTTTAATACTATGCAATACAATACAGATTCAAGATTGAAAATTATTTTTACATTTAGAGCTGAATTATTTTACATTCTTACCTGCCGGATTCTTTTCTCCTCCTTGTACTGCTTCCAAACTACACTGTACATTTCATCCAAACCCTGCCGTGTCTGTCGATATGTTTCTAGCTCTAACTGGCTATCTTGCAGAGTCACCTAAAAGCAATCCAAAGTGAGTAAAATTTTGCTTAGTAAAAAAAAAAACTGGCCAGATGGCAGGTAACATTATTTTGGAATGACAAAATACTGCATGGTGTTATTTATTAGTAATAAACCAACAGCCCGGCCTATGTTTGGCCATTTTAGGGTCTTGGCTTTAGATGTTCCAAAATTCTTCTAGCGACTTTTCCAGTGAATAGTGGATGCAGATGTTTAAAAATTATTACATACAGATTGTTTTCATAATACAACATTTTTATTGCAACTCCCACCTCCTCTTTCCTCTGACTAGTTTGGAGAATATTTGCATTTTCTTGTTTAAGTTGTTCCTGCTCTTCACGCAGAGCGTTGATTCTGTCTGTGGCTGCTGTAAGCTGTACAAAAGACATCAAATAACTATGTTTTCCCATTTTAATCCTGTATTTAATAATGTGCATGATTTATAAGCAAGAAATTAAAATACACAAAATATAAGGTCATAATAAAGTCTATAAAAATTACCTCCTCGATGAGTTTGCTGTTGGTCTTCTCCAGCGAGTCCATCTTGGCCTGAAGATCCGTCACTGTGCAGCTCAGATGCCGGTTCAGTTCCTCTATGTAGTGCTTCTGGTCAAGAATGGCTGTCATTTTTGAATCACTGTCAGCAGTTAAAGAATCAGAAAAAGCCAAAATTACTAAAATTACTAAACTAGCTCATAACAAAATAACTGTCTTCTAATACTTGTTTCTAGCCATGTAATTAATGATTCAATGCTTAATCTTTGCTAAATGATCACACACTCACTCTTGTGTGGTCTCAGTTGCTTGAGGATCCTTTAGATACATTGAGAAGTCAAGGACGCCCACCTGCAGAAACAAAAACACAGTGTTTAGCGTCACTGTCAAAGAGCACATCTGATAACATGGTTTGGATGGCTATATGTTTCACCTGGGAATCCAGATCCTCTCCTTTCACACACAGATTGGCATCGATCACATTCAGACCCACCAGCATCCCTACAACCACAGCCCCCTCCTCCTCCATTATAAGAGCCCCGGGCTCATAAAACTCCCTGAGACATGAATTTACATTGGGTAGCCCAGAATTCAATAGCACTACAGCACTGTATTTTGTATGATATTAAACAAATTCTGTACAAGAGTCTAAATATTAAAGATCATTTTTCTATCGTTTAATTGCTCTTACCCAAGAAGGTCTCTTCTATTTATAAGCTCTTTCATGTAGTCTGCAATTTTTTTCTGCATTAGAGCCAGATGCAGCCATGCTCGAGCTCGCCCGAGGCCTGTCCTGAAACAACACAGAACCTCATGAAGACCAAATCATGCTCTCCTCTTACACTGTTTTGAACAGGATATTATATCCAAGACAAACACCTTTAAAGGGAACCTACTTGATTCCAGGCATATCCCGCACACTGGTGGAAATCTCAGCTGACTCAGGGCACAGTTTCTCTATCAACTCCAGAGGGGCCCAGATAGACTTGTTCTGACCAATGAAAGTCTTTTTCACTGCACAGGAGGAGAGACAGATACATGCAGGATTTAGGCCATAAATGGGTTAATTTCACAAAACTGGTCATGAATATGTAGGTTTTACACTTCAAAATCAAAACAAATAAATAAAAAATCATTCCCTCACATTTCTCTCCCTCCCGAAAATTATTATTTTTTAATTACTTTATTATTAAAACCCTGAAATAGGGTTATTATTGTTAACTAAAACTAAAAACATAAAACAATTTTAATTGCTTGAATAAAATAAACATTAACTGAAATAAAGTGTTTAATTTTATTAAACTTGTTTAACAGAAAACAA